ACCCTCCCTGTATGAGACATGCAGGGAGTACTTGAGGGAGGAGCTGTACAAGGCAGGTCTGCAGGGGGCCTTGCACATCTGGAGCAGCTGGGGTGGCGATCATGCCTATCTCTTCCTCACAGGGCACTGGTGTGAGCAGTCAGGCCGTTGGTGGGTTCTCCTTTAAGCCAAGGTGATAGATGAGTCTCAAATGGCAACCGAGATCAAGGGGGGGCATGCACTGCTTGGTGCAGGGGTGGCTCATTGGGTAGGGCGAGCTCACCTGTGGGTTCATAGTCACCGACAATGGAGCTAATATGGTCAGGGCAGTCTGTGATGCCAAATTTGTTTGGAAGAGGGGTGTAGCACGTAAAAGTGGAGAGATACCTGGGGAGTCAGATGTCCGGCAGGTTGTAATATGTCAGAATTCCAATTCCAGAAACCCCTGCACCTATCTCCTTGAAACTTGACAGGCTTTGTGGCCTCAGCCAGGGCTACCCTCCCTGATTTCATTTGAATCAGGAAAGAAATGAAAAAGTTATAGGTATTTTCATGATCCCCCATTATAGCCTATGGACAAAACGTCGAAACACATCAAAACAGTGTTGAAACAGCGTCGAAACAGCAAAACAGTTTTGATGAAACAAAACGGAACCGTGCTTTAAAACAGCAAAAAAAAACACTATCGCTCTGAAATGGCGAAATGGAAGTTGAAATAGAACTGCATTTTTATACTGTCCTAGTTTAATACACATACACACACACGTATATATCACTGCTTCCCTTAAAAACATGGCATATGTAAAACTGTTATCTGTAAAAATGCCTTTTTGGTGTTGTCATCCCTAAGCCTTCAAAAATCATGAGTTTCAGGCCCAAAGAAAATCATGGGACTGTTTTAAGGATCATGAGCAGAAAAAGCAATACTAAAGCTAGAGGGATTTTGAATTGGCTTCTGGTTTCTGAGCTTTGAGTGACACTTGTTTAAAATGCATCTCTGAAACAGTAAGATTATGTTTGTTTGGTTTTTTTGTTAAGGAAAGTTGAGATCCTGACATAATCACATGACTCCAGGAGCTGGGGCTTTAAGTACAAAAAACCCTGAGTATTGTGCGACTTGTAGGACTGCAAGAGTTGGCAGTGTTGTATTTCACATTTGCATGTGTAATGAGCCAAAGGTCAGCTGGGGCTGATCTGGTTCTAGGCCCCATCCAGAGGTAACCAGACAGCCAAGTTGAGTCATACCTTTAGGAAGAGGGCCTGCCTACACTGGCTATATAAACTCATCATAGAGAGCTATCTGGGCAACTGACTGACTTGTTGTGTCTCTGGCCTGCTTGGAATCACTAAACCTCACTCTGTGCTCTGAACTTCTGGCTTAGATCCTCCTGCCTATTCCTGAATGCTCTTGTTCCTATCTTGGATCTCCTGGCCTGGATCAATTGCTTGACCTGACTGTGGCTTCATGTTCACTTTTGGCTTGATACCCCAGACTTAAACTGCTTCTTGGCTTGGCCTTGTCTTAAACTCTGGTAACCCCCTAACGTACATGCTCCACTCAAACTAACTGCCTATGACCCCATATCTTTTACAACATGCTGTCTGCGTAAGTGGAAAAGCATGGACAATGTAAAAGGGGCCCAAGTTGGGGAGGAAAAGGTGGAGTTGGATTGAAGAGCAGTGAAAAGGAGGTTTTCTAAGGTCTGCAGTACACCAGCAGATGAGCTCCCATTTGTAGGAAAGAAGCCTCCATCCCTGCCAGTCTTGGATTGTATCCTTCTAACAGCTTAGCAAGCAAAATGCTGAATCACATAATTGCTGAGCTCAAAGGCTTTGGAGGAGAAAAAGCTTTCTGTGTCGGCTTCCCTTAGGTGATTTATCCTGCAAAACTATATTGTGCAACACTTTCTGCCTTAAAAGTAACTCATGCAAAATTAATTATATTGCACTACATTTGTTGGAAAATACATTTTAGTACAAGTTAATTCAAAGAAAAAGCATATCTCAAACATTGCAGGACACACAGTTATGAGTTAACAGTCATAAATCAAATCATTGCTCATTAATAACCTCAACACTAACCTCTGTTGGGATTTGGAAATAAGTAAAGGTGGTCAAGAAGTAGTAGGTATTATTTGTGGGAAAAAATTAATATTCTAATTTTTTACCAAAAGAAACAAACAAACTAATCACCAACCTTTTTTTTCATATTCAGGTTTCTGGGATGTTGTTTTCTTCCTCCCATTATTTTTTTTATCAACCCTGTTTTCCATACTGACAACATTGAAAAAAAGAACCCCCAAAAATCATACTCTCCTACCACCATTCCACCTCTCCGTATAACTATTTTTCATTCAAAAAACTTTGAATAGAAACTGTTGGACAGCTCTAAGCATACAAGCTCACATACTTCCCCATGGGTTCTGACTCCAGCTATAGGTGGGCTGGAGAGTTTGCTCTTGCTTAGAGCAAGTAGCTAGGCAAGAATTCATAGCTCCATAGACTTCCAGGCTGTTAGGGATTGTTATGTCACGTTGTTTGACTCCCTGCATTAACAGTACACTGATCCCCCTGCTTTCCATGTGTTAGGTTAGGAGTGTTTTTGATGTTTTGGGGCCATGTACCTTGCTATTGCACATCAGGGTTGTCTGTGTGGTTTGAAGAATAGGTTAGACAAGCACTTTTATGGGAAGACTTGGATGATCCTGCCTTGAGCAAGGGGTTGGACTAGATGATTTCACAAGGTCCCTTCCAGTATAGTTATGATTCTACAACACAGGCCAGCCAGCCTCATCCAGTTATTCCAGCATCAAGCTCATAGCCCTGCTTGAGCTAGTCTATACCTTTCAGGAAGGGACCCACCCTTGATTTAAGGGCATCACATGATCACATGGATGACTGGTACCATCTGAATTGGGGGGTACATGCCCCCCCACTGACCAGTCAGTGACCAGGGGGAGTCCCCCTGTGGCCAATGTCATGGACTTGGGGGGGAGTTCCCGTGGCCAATTGCACTCACCTGAAAGCAGCTGCAGCCACTTCTAGGAGCCCCATAGTCGCTTCATTCAGAGCTTTGTTCAGGCCAGCACTCAAAGGGGGGGCACCGGCACCCTGCCTGATCCCCCGCCTGTCACCTAATCAGGGAGCGCAGCCTGACAGGGGGTACACCAGTGCTCTCAGGGGGTGCACGTACACCCCCATGCACCCTGTACACATCACCACTGCATGATCAGAGGAACTTCTATACCTCAGCACAAACATATTGTGACTGGACATTCCCAAGCCCACTTCACCCCCTGCCTCGCATGCCTCACCACTTTGGCAGCTCATGGTTATCCCTCTGTGAGAGCACTTCATACCCCAGGCCCTGATATACTTAAGAATAGCAGCTGGGTTGACCCTAGAGTAGCCACAGAGTTGAATTTCCAAGTTTGAAGTTTGTTACTGGGGTTGAATGGATTAACCATGTTTGGAAATATCCAAGGTGGAACATGCTGCCACTACAGTGTAAACATGCCCAGAGGATCCACTACAGACCTCGAGTAGTTTCACAGTAATTTAATTGCTCTGCTATTACAAATGAAAATTTATCTACCATAACCATTAGAGCTCATTAGGCCAGCGTTTGCCAACCGCTGTGCCACGGCACACTGATGTGCTGTCGGACACGTCCAGGTATGCCACAGAATCATGGGAGCGTGTTGCTTCTGGGGAGCACGGCTACAGCTAGTGCCACCACTGCCACCCCGCACTGCAACTGCACCTTACCCTCCCCCGCTTGTCAATGCAGGAAAACTAAAGATCTCATCTGAGCTTTTTTAGTATCCCATGATAGCAAATGTGTTCTAGACATCAAATTATTCTTATAGATCTTTTCTGAATCTTTTCCAACTTGCTAACACACTTTCTGAAGTGTGTCTCTCTCAGTAGTGCTCAATATGCTCCAGTAAGTGTCTCATTAATATCAGTATATAGCAATGACATAATTTCTCTGCTTCTGTTAATATTGCCTTGCTTATGTGGCCAAGGAAAGAATTAGCCCTCATAGCTGCGGCATGGTCCTGAGAGTTCATATTCATTTGGTTATTTATCACGACCCTAAGTCCATTTCAGTTTCATTACATTCCAGGATACAGTCCATCATCTGATAAGTGTGACCTACATTCTTTGTTCCTGGATATGTGACTTTGCATTTGGCTGTATTAAAAAGCCTGTCATTCAAATGAACCAGCAGTATCAAGTACTACAAGTTGGCCTGTATAACTGACCTCTCCCTCTCTTTATTTACCACCAGTGAGGCCTGGGAGCTAATGCAGAGGATGCCAGAAGAGCAGCCCTCTGGAGAGTCTGCAGTAGAAGCTGCAGCAACTGAGGGCTGGCAGATCAGGCCACAGTAAGAGCAGCCAGGGTAAGTGAGATGCTCTCTTTCTCTTTTTTTCTCTCTCTAGCAAGGTTTTGCCAGGGCACAAAACTAGATAGTTATGCCTCTGTTTACCTCTCCACCATTTTTTGTATGGTCTGTAAATCTTACCAATAAAACTCTGGTTCTGAACACTACACAGTGAGAATACCTGGTGTGCACGCTGTACAGGCAGCTGATGAAGTAAGCCAAAATCCTCAAATGTCTGTAGCACTCCATTCCTATTTAAGCATCTAACTTCCCCCTGATTTCATGGAAGTTAGGAGCCTAAAGACCTTTGCCTCGCTACATTCCTGCAAAAACTTAAGTGCATGAGTAACTGTGCAGAAAAAAAAATTACAGCAAATTAAGAAATGGCAGACTTGCTGCTGTGTACTTGCTGTCTGTGTGCCTATTTGAAACCTGTATTATGCAGAGGCATTCTACCTGTCAGTGAAATAGGTATAAACTATTATGGCTTAGTTTTCCCTTCTCAGGAGGTAAGAGCACGCAGAGGGACAGCTGCCACAGAGCAGCTGATGTGTGATAAGTTCCTGACCTTTTCTAAATTTGCTGTGCTTTTTTATGACTTCTTTTCTGATTGGCTGACTTGGCTCACATAAATAGTTTGATTGCAGTCATGGGAAAGACTCTCATGAGCATAATTACACAGGGTTTAGAGTGTTTTGCCAGATTGTGCCCGAAGTCTATAACAAGCTTTCAGTTCCAAACCTATTTTTCTCTCTCCCTTCAACTTTATATCTTCCTTAAAATGAATCGCTTCTGCTAAAATGTCCGGTACCTACTAGCAAAGGAGGTGAGGAAAATGTTAAAGCATGACCAATCAGAGGATTTTGAAGTCTGAACTTTCTTTAAAAAACAAAACAAAACAACCCAGACCTTTTCCCATAGTCTTATCCCAGAGCTACACCCCTCACCAACAGCACAGTACACACAAGCACAGGGCACAGTCATAATGGGGATGGCAACTACAGAGACATGTCGCAAACAACGAGCGAGGAGCACACGAGACTATATTTTGGTTCGCGTCACTCCCACAATGCACCGCACAAAGCAGCTGACTGTGGGTTTCTACCACACTGATCACATAAGAGTGAATTTACGTGGCTCTCCCACTACAACCCTAAAATATTCCTCAAATAGTTTTGTCTCCCGTTTTATTTTCTGGGTGGATGTTACTTATTTTACAGGAGAAGAAGCAATGTGCATTTATTTTTCTATTTAAATATAAAAGGATAAGGTTATATTTACATTCACTAGCCAGATCCAGATGTACAGGCACATGCATTTCCCCAGGGACAAAAAGCAGAAGCACAATATGTGCCACTGCTACGTGTCCCTGGGGCATGCCTGTGCACATGCGCTCTGGCCCCAGCACCCTTACTTGGGATCCTGGGAGCCTCCCAGGGCTCTAGCAGTGGCAATCCAGCAGCAGGAAGCCCCATTATCCCCATTATGATAGTGCCCTGTGCTGTTGGTGAGTAACAAAATTGGTGAGTAACAAAATTGTCTTGTAAAAGTGGTAGAAATGGGTCTGGGGGTCAGTACAGATGAGGTCTTGGAATGTATCCCTATTTGTTACATTGTAAAGTGGGTTCCCTTTATGCAAATTTGAGTTGTGCACCGTTTTCCAGGAACGCATGCACAGCATAAAGTGAGGGAAACCTGTATTCCAAAACCTGAATTCCTGCCCTGGGTCTCTGGCTTTTGACTCCATGCCCTGAACCTCTGACATGAACCCTTAGGCCTATCCTGATTGTTTCAGTTCCTATCTTGGACCACCTGGGGTAGATCAACTGCTTGTCCTGACCAAGCCCTCATCTTGACTTTTGGTTTGATGTCAGACCCAGACTGTTACCTAGTTTGATCTTGACTTATACTCCAGTAATCCCCTGATCTACCATGCTCCACTCGGCCTGACTGCCTATGACCCAATCACCTCCTTACATACATACTCAAAATGAATTGCCAATGATTCCACTGAGTTTTGCAATGTTCAGTGTTTGCCATGTTTTGCTGCTCAGTCCCTCTTTATCCTGCTGCTGGATTCAGTGGGGAAGAGGAAGGAAGGGCAGGCAAATGGCAGCAATGCTCAGCAACTGGGCTCCAGAGCTGACTGAAATCTATGGCTCCAGGCAGAGCCTGAACTGACATACCAGTGAGCTCAGAGCTTTCATGCACCTCTGAAGCCCAGGAGCTAAGTGGCACCACCATTGATTTTGGACCCTCTTTTTCTCTGCCACTGAAATCTTGGGGGGGGGGGGGGGGGCGCTTCCGGGCCCTGGAGCTGCATAAGAGCTCTGACCTCACTGGCATGTCAGCCTAGGTGAATGCAGCTGTCACTCACACCCTCTTTTCCCATTACTGAATCCAGCAACAAGGAAAAGAAGGGAAGGAGCAACAGGAGCATTCATACTGGGCCATTCACATTGGCTCTGTGGGTTGTATCTGACAGCCATAAGTTCAGCTTCACTACTCCACATTCACATTAAGAGATAGTCTGTACAGGTATCCCCTGCTTAGCACTCTTAATTGGTTGCAGAAAAAAGTGTTAAGCAGGACCGTGCTCAGCAAACCCATTTCCCATAGGAATTAATGTAAATAGCGATAATTGGTTAGCGCTGCTTCTTGCCACCACCACCTCTCCCCACCATCCCACCTGCCCTCTGGCCACTTCGGCCCCACGTGCTAACCCAGGCCCCATGCTCCTGCTGATCTTCCCTGGCCCCCACCGGCCCTGGCCCCAGGCACTGGCACGGGCCCTGCACTCATGCCCACCGCACCACTTGCCACTTCTCACCGCCGCCTCTCCCCACCCCCCACCCACCCTCCAGCCAGCCACTCAGGCCCCACGTGCCGGCCCAGACACTGTGCTCCTGCCACCCTGCCCAGGGCCCCTGACAGCCCTGGACCCAGGCACTGGCATGGGCGCTGTGCTCATGCCCCACCCTCCCAAAAACTCCTCCCTTCTCCTCAGCCCCCACCTGCCGGCCACTCTAGCACCATGTGCCAGCCCAGGTCCTGCACTCCTGCCACCCTGCCCTCGGCCCCTGGCAGCCCTGGCCCCAGGGAACCAGCACAGGCCCTGTGCTCACACCTGCCCGCCCAATCACTACCACTCACCACTTCTTACCACTGCTGCTTCTACCTGCCCACCTGCTGAAACTTGCTGATTCCACTGAGTGCTATAGCAAAACTGTCTGAGTACTCAGTGGAATCAAGTATGAATTTTCAATGAGTATTATAACAAAATAGTGCTAACTGAAACCACCTTAAGCAGGGGTTACCTGTATACTATTTCATACAGAGCTAAATAAGCAAGACAGGCAAAGGCAATATTATTATTCTCATTTTAAGGAACAATTAATGCTCAAAACAATATGTGCTTAACCCACACTGAAGTAAAAAAAATTGCCCGAGATCTGTGATCATTTGAACTAAAATTTAAACTGAACCTGAAAACCTCATGGGTGTATGCTCTCTTCCCTAAATACACAGACCATCTATTAACTTTAATGGGATTTCTATACAACACAGTGATGACAACTAACCCCTCCAGCAGCAGTGCCTGCTGCTTATCTACATGGGATTAATCAACTATTCACTTCACCAACATTTCCATTAGGATGAAAGAATCAGAGGCACTTCCTCTGACATTATGATTTAGTTTTCCAGTCAGATTTATTAACCTGGGAAAATTACAAATGCATTTGCTAAGCCATAAACTCTGAATTGGTAACAATTTGCAAGGACAGAAAAAGTGTGTGTGTGTGCATATATATAAATATTTCTGTATATATAAAATTAAAATTCATGCATATGCTTCCTGTACCCTATTACACATCTTGACAAGAAATAATTACATGCAGTTCTAAGAAGTGAAGCTAACAGAAACTATATTACACACAGAAAACAGGTATTAGAAGTGCCATGTTGGGTCTATCTCAATGCTACATTTTTAATTAAGCAGAAGATTATGTAAAGTGCAGTAAAATGTTCTCTTGATTGCTCTAATCTACTACAGGAATATGGTTTTCTGATACCAGTGAGCTCCTGGTGAAATAAATAATTGATTTATTAATCTTCTATGCAATTGTATTTGCTTGAGAAAGGGATTTCATAGCTAAATAACGAATTTGGATGCATAAATAAATGAGAACCTGGCATCCAAATCATTGAGGCCTCTGTGGAGATCTCATCCTTGTTATACTATGTTGAAATGATCTCATAGTGTGATACAAAGAGGAGGGCTCTGAAGCCAATGCAGATTGGTCCTGGTTCCTGATTAGAAGCCACAAGCTAGTAGATTCCATTTTTTCAGTTACTGCACCTCTTTTGTATTTTGTACTTATACCTCAAAAACAAAGAAAATAATCTTCATACACAGAGAAAACCAGTATCATCACCCCTCAGTAACAGAGGAAGAGGTCTAAATTTGGGGGATATTCTGTGAAGTACATACAAATTAGTATCCTGGTTAAGAACTCCAGGAGCCTGTACACGTTCCCGGAGGCTGCTCCGATGAACTGTAATTACAGCATGGCAGAGAAGGCTTGATTAATCAAGTCTGCTAGAGAAAGCTAATTAGCACGCTCCCTCCAGCCTCTGTATCTCAGTGTCCCTACACTTCAAAATGGTGGCAGGAGTGTTTAACCAAAGCCCATTTGGTGAGCTTTAGATAAAGTGTCCTCACCACTGTTTTGAAGTGCGGGACATGGATACAGGAGACACTCTAGGCACTTTAATTAGAGCGGCTTTCAGAGCCACTTTCATTAAAGCACCCCACCCCGGGAGCATGTGTAAAAAGGCCCTCCATGTATGCTGTCCCACCGGCCATTCCCTAATCTGATAGACTGAGGTTCTGCTGAAACAAGTCAAATACTGTTCAAATACTGTCAACATTTGCATTCACTAAAATCAATTCCAGGAAATTAATGGAGCTTAAATTTAGGCCAAGGTGTAAGTACTTTTTTCTGTTTTTTGGGGTAAGTATTTTTTGTAATAATAATAATAAAGAAGATAACTTAGCAGGTTCAGGAATATAGATATAATCATACATTATTATTGTTCTTGTTGTTGTTGCTTTTTATTTCTGTTTATTTTTGTTCCCTATTGACTAGGCTGAAAATGTGATTAAATATTTTACATTAGACATGAGCAAATGAATTAATTTATTTAGCAAAAAGTACTCCCCTGTATTATAGGATAGTTCTTTAAAAGATTAAGAACACTTGAAATCATTTAGCATTTCCCAGTTGATAAACATCAAAGACATTAAAATAAATATCTTAACAAGACTGAGCTACTTGTTCCAGATGTTGTGGGTGAGGATAATGAAGTGTTATTTTTTTAATAAAATGGTAAGTTGCAGGTTTCTCTTACGGTCTATGTTCAAAATACTTTTCAAGATGAAAACTTCCACAGTAAAGGATAATAGGATACATCCTGTGCTGGTATCCACTGACAGAGAATTCCAGTGATTCTAGCTTTGATTTATACCAGCTGAAGAATTATTTATAAGTATCTAACATTAATAAAGAACCATGTATCTGTGCCCTGTTAGACGGAAGCCTAGGATACTGTGTTTATATCCTGTTTTTGCAAAGAGCACTTCAACATCAAGACATTGACTTGGCTGCACTGGATCCATATAATCACACATTTACTGTACAACTTTCTAGCAAACCACAAGGAACTCAGATACCAGATTGGCATGAAAAACTTGGTGATCAAAATATCTGCGAGGTATTTTGTCAGCCATTGTTTACTATGTAGTGAATCCCATGTATCCAGTTCCCTCATTCCACTTGTCCATGATTTGAATTGAGTTTATATGCCTGCCTTTATTTAATTAACAAAAAAACTTCTTTCTTTTAGCAAAGCGTCCCATATCAAAACATACCGTTTGGCTTCCTTCCCATTTGGATAAAGGAGTTCTACTGCATATATTTAAAAACTAAAAGAGTCTATAGTACCAGAGTGGCTCAAGTATTTGCAAATATCTTATTGAAATGTACTACTTTTCCTAAAGTGCATGTTTAAGAATCAAGTTCTGAAATAACTACTGCAATTTCATAAGCTTCAAGACATAGGACACATTTGATTTCACTCCTCTTCCAGCAGGTATAAAAGGAGGCTGTGGTTATTTAATTTGTGAATCTTGCAGAATATGAGGAAAACCAACTGAAAGATCTGTGAATACATATGTTTTGAAAATGTCAGGTAAGAAAAAGGAGATTAAATCAATTTTTAATAGCATTTTGACATCCATAAATGGCAGCTTTTGAATCATGCACTCCAGTGCACCCAAAACAGCATGCACTCACCTTATCCACAATGCAGATCTGCTTTTTGCTTTGGGCATCAAGGATTTCTACTTCAAAGTAAGTGATTTTTGAATGCCTGAGAACTGGTGGTTGTCTGAGATGGCCAGCAGAGAGCACAAGCTGAGACAAGCTGTAAAAAGACCTTGTGTCATTTTGTGGCAAAGACAGTCCGCCTCCATGGGCTGCAAAGTTCCTCTTCTCTGTAGCACTGGGCTTATGCCTCCTGTACATTGTATGACCCAGTGGTAGCAACTATCATGTCAACACAGGGCAGTTCCAAGGGGAAATGTGTCCTCCCTGCATCAGTTAAATATGATCACGGACTGATGAGACATGAAGGTCAAGTGGCATTCCATTTTGAGAGTCCAGTCTTATTTAGCAGGATTGAAAACAATGGCTCTCTAATCCATTTCTATATTTAACTTGCTATTGTGATGTACAGCATTGCCTTTTTTTCTTTTTTTAACCGGCATTTGAAATAGCATGTCCTACTTACACCCTTTATCTTGATTCCCTAATATGACAAACCAGCCCCTGAAATTCCAGAACCTGAAAGAAATCAGGAACACAATGAATTCCATCATGATCTATGCCAAATGTTTAAAAGTGTCCATGTATGAAACATATATCCAATGTCATCTATTCTAGGGATGCTTGTTAATGCCTGCAGGGGCAGTAAACAACAACATGCTAATAAGAGTTCATAAGCAGAAAGTGTTTTCCCTAGGATATACAAAAAACTAGAACTCTTGGTTCCAAAATGATACCTTTTATTAGACCAACTGGAAAATGGCAAGAATATTGTCCTTTTCTTCAGGCTTTCAGGATCAAAGTCCCTTCGTCAGGCTCTGGGAAAAGTGTAGATGGTACAAGATGGTAAAAAGTCCCCATAGGTAGGAAATAAACTTCATTTTTGCACAGAGGATTGTTTTTCTACTTTGTTCTTCTATTGGCAACCACTGCCAATAGATGGAAATCTACAAAAAATAAAATTACTCCAAGCAGAGAATCACATTGTAGTGAATAAAGAAGTATACCCATCAGCTCAAAGGCTTGATGAAAAGTAGAAAACAAGCTGCCACTGTGGAGAAGATAATATGTCTGGGGGAAGAGAATATACAAGGATTGTTTTTCTACTTTGTTCTTCTATTGGCAACCACTGCCAATAGATGGAAATCTACAAAAAATAAAATTACTCCAAGCAGAGAATCACATTGTAGTGAATAAAGAAGTATACCCATCAGCTCAAAGGCTTGATGAAAAGTAGAAAACAAGCTGCCACTGTGGAGAAGATAATATGTCTGGTGGAAGAGAATATACACAAATATTGGCAAAAACTGGTATTTAAAATCTGTAAAGTGCTTGGAGATAGAGAAATGGGAGCTTGCTGTAGTGAACTAAATGAAAATTCAAGGAAATAAATGTCACACATCCAAGACAATTCCTTTCTGGAAGACATATTTTAATTAGCCAGAAATTATTTCGACTCAGTATGAAGCAATCTATACGAAATGCTATCCAAGAGGTCATATTGGTAAATTCCTTTAATGGTATCTTCTATTTCTAAATATTAATTAATTAAATTGAAAATAAATGCTGTCAATCATACGGATTGAAAAAGTTCATATGAATTTAGTGGAAGAGCACCATTATAGTGTAGTCTATTTAAAATTAAATAAACAACAGGACTTGAATCTATAACATCTTGACTGCTTACAATGAAAAAGTCTTTCACTTACCACACACATTTAAAAGACATAATTTTGGCATCTGACTTTGACAAATGAAAAATAATCAGAACCCCTTTCCACTGAGACATCTCAAGTGTATTTTAATCTTGTTATTCTGACATTCTCTGTGTGATAAGGAAAGCAAATTATATATGATAATCATATTTTGGGAGTAAATTTTACTGACCAGACCCTTTGTGTAAAGAGGCATAGCTCTGTTGAAGTCAATATCTCTGTGCTGATTTACATCAGCTGAAGATCCCAACGTTTTATTTTAATATTAAGTCACAAGACTTGGAATATAGCACCTTTGTTCTGCATTGATAACAGTGAGTGGGGACTGATGGATAGAAAACAGGTTACTTACATACAAATTGGGGAGAGATACTGTCCCAAAAATAAGCAAAGATAGAGTTACTATATGATAACCTGACATTTAAAAGGGAGATGGCAAGAAGTAATTGGAGATTTTGCCATTAATCTGACAAGACCTATGCTTCCCCTTTAAATTTCCTCACAGCTTTTTGCTATATTGGTTTTGATATGAAATGCACTGGCCTTTATGTTTTCCCCTGCGAAGATGTGCACCTGGCAGGACAAATAAATGAGCAAACTCCACATCTCCTTTAGCATTCATATTCCCATTATGCTCACAACTGCTAGGGGGTGGACTGGAGAAGGTGCCAGTCTCCTGCCACAGGGAGTTCAAGCAGTCATGGGGAGGGATTTATTATCCAGTATAAAATTGTGTGTTGGTATAACAATCTAACACAGGCATGGCAGGACCAGTAGCTGACTGTCAATGGGTGCGTCTAAACATTCATTAATGCCCAGTAGTTACTGCACATCTAGTTTAGTACTTGTTTAATGAAGTACTAATTAAATCCACAGTAACTACAGTTATTGTGCAGTAGTGCTGATGCAGTTTTTTTTGTGATGCTTGCTGCACAGTAGCCTAACAACACTGCACAGTAGCTTATTAGCACTGTTTTTGACCGCCACGCTACTGAACAGCATTATTATACTGCTGCGCAGTAAGTGTCTCATGTGATGCACCCAGTGACTCTCAGACCTAGGCTTCATTCTGAGAGGAGCATAAGAAGTATTAAGCCTGTCCAAGCTGGACCAAGTCTCTGCAATTTTCCCTGCCACCCTAAAGGACAGTGTTTTGGAGGAACCATAAGAAGTAGCAGGCCTCTTCTCTCAAATCCTGGATTCTGCTGGCTGCCCTCCACATGGCTATTAGTTGATTCCAGCTATTTTATAGAGTTGAATATAAAATACGAAAAACATTCTGCTTACCCATTTCCCAGTGGCTTTCTTTGTGGGCCTACTTGCCTCCACACCAAGGAACAGGGCCACATACAGGCCAACATTTATGTTGTATAAAAGAAGTCTCTATTGAAAATAAAAGTGAGAGGACTGCATTTGAATTATTGTAGTGTATTAGTATACTTCCTAGCAGTAACCAAATATTTAGTGAGCAGTATTTGAGGAGAGGCATCATGGTACTGAAGGGCATTAGAAAAGGACTCAGGAGAGTTGAATACAGCTCCTAGCTCTGGCATATGTTCCCAGGCAATGTCATTTTATCCTTTTTTTCACTTCCTACACAATGTCTGTCTTGTCTAGTTCAATATTTGAGCCAGGGATTCTGTCTTACAAAATGCTGACCTACAGCTTACCACAAAGGGGCTTTGATCTCAGTTAGGGTCTTCAAGGGCAACTGCCATAGTAATAATAATTGTTAATATTTTATACTCATCCGTCTCTCCTTTAGTCTACCAGCTTCTGGCTGTTAAACCAGCACAAGGACATTGTCTCTATCACTCAGAACTCATGTCATCACTTGTTCACCCATCACCATTTATCACATGGATTCCAAGCTGCTTCGTGGAAGTAGGATTCTTCCGTTCCCACGGGATTCCTGATTACAGAAAACCACATGAATGAAGGCTTCATTATGCTGCCAGAAACACAGACAAGTACCATAGAATCTTTGTGAATAAAAATCCTGGGTTTCAATAGAAAAAAAAGTGCTTCAAGGGATATACTATTAATCCCCAGACTAGGGCAGTGGCAGTGAGCTAGAAATGCTAAGAGAGTTGAGAGGGGCTACAACAGCAGAAAATGCATTAATAATGGGAGACTTCAACTATCCACAAATAGACTGGGTCAGTCTAATATCAGGCCAGGATTCAGAGACCAAATTTCTTGGTATTATAAAAGGCTGCTTCCTGGAGCAGTTAGTCCTGGAACCTACAAGAGGAAAGACCATTCTTGACCTAGTCCTACAAAGTGTACAGGTTTTGGTGTAAAGGGTAAGTGTTATTGAGCTGCTCAGCAACAGTGACCACAATGCAATTGGGTTCGACATCCACGTAGAAGGAGAGACAAGAAAGTTTACTACAGTAGCCTTTATCTTTAAAAAGGGAGACTACACTAAAATAAGAAAGCCAGTTAGACAGGTGTTAAAAGGGGCCCCTAAGGAGGTGAGGAACTGTAGGCCATGTGGGAACTGCTTAAGAACACCATACTGAAGGCTCAAGTAAAAGGCACAACACAAAACAAAACAAAAACAAAAAACGGAAATTGGACCAAAAGCATAGTTTGATGACAGAGTTGCAGCGGCAATAAGCAAATAAAAGGCTTTTTTTCAAAAACTGGAGTTCAAATCCTAATGAAGAAAATAAAACATAAAAAATAAGCTAAAATAAGAATAATAAAATAAATACTGGCAAAGTAAATGTAAAACTGTAATGTTAGCCTGAAGTAGCATTGGATTGTGCCAGTCAGTGTAATACATTTGCACAAAATTGTGGCATTTCCCTATTGTCAAATGTTTAAAAATATCTGTTCATGTGTCTATGTGCGTATGCATGCATGTGCATGCACATGCACAAGTGTCTACAGGCATGTGCATAGGTGGAGAGAGATTTTTAGAAGTCCTCAGCACTGACTTAAGTCTTCTCTGAGGGCATTCTCCCATCACCATTCTCAAGCATGTAGAAGGAAAACATCTCAAGAGCATTCAAGTAGGAGATGTCTACCAAGTGGCTTCACAACTTCATTTCCAGGTTTGGCACATGCAAGTAGTAGCAGGTGTATGGGCTCCCCAGTGCTCCCCAGTACATCAAGGACACAGTGAAGACATACCTGCACTTAC